TAAGAGAGCGAAGACAGGCCTTTTCATTAATGGCATCAGCTCGCCAACAAAGGCTGGCTGACAGGCTGGCTAACTAAAGCACAAACAAACAAACAAACAAACAAACACACACACACACACACACACACACACACACACACACACACACACAAAGGATAAAGTTATTCGAAGGCACTTAAGTGATTGGGCATTTTTGTCCAACTATACACTCAAAGCGATTACCTAAGACCAACAAATGTCTAATGAATGAATGAATGAATGAATGCTTTGCTCCACATTGAAGTGATTTGGTTTTCTAGCAGCCAGTTAGCTTAGCTTAGCATTAAGCAGGAAACCACTCACCACTAACACGTTGCATCTCGTTTGTTGAACACGTACAGAAACATGCTTTGCAGTGAAGTTATCGCTGCCAGCCAAGATGGTTGGCAGACTTTCTTACCTGCATAAGGAACCAAGCTAGCTGTTTCCATCCGTTTACAGTCTTTATGCTAAGCTAAGCTGCTGCTGGTTGTAGCCTTGTTACCGTACAGATATAAGAGCGATATTCACCTTGTAACTACGTAACGTACTATGTGAGTTATTAAGTCAAACCAAGTTGTACAGTAAAGATTACAAAAAGCTTTACATTTGTTCACTTTGTGTTGAGCTCTTTTGCAGGTAAAATCCACAGAGGAAGTGCTCGTGTGTTACAGCCCATCAATCATCACTGTTGGATGAATGTGTAAAGAAACAAAGAACGTTCTGCTCTTTGTCTGTTTCCTCTCCCTCTCCTTTTCCGTTGCTGAGCTGCAGTAATGTGATGCTGCCTGCAGAGGGCCAGTGACCACTGATGACCAATGAACTGAGAAGATTCTGCAGTGAAACAGAAGAAAAAGATGCTTCACCTTTTTCCTTTTTCTCGACCAGTTTTCTCTCTTTAACCAGCTCACTTGTTGCATGAATTCCTTTCATCTCTTTGTCTCCTTTATCCTTCTTTATCTTCATACATGCATTCTTTTATTCCATCACATTTTATATTTACATGCATTCTCTTTCTTTCCCACTGTGCATGTTCAATGGATTTTTTTGCTGGCTGCATGCAATCTCTCTCCGTCTCCGTCGATCTCTGCAAAATATATGGTCTCCGTCTCGCTCACACACCAGGTTTCCTTCTCACTCCCTGTTCACATGTTCCTCCCTCTTCATGTTACTTTATCACCATCGTGGCTGTATGACGGATCTCGACAGTGACAATATATGAGTGTGAAATATTCTCCTCTTTCTCTACGTCCCTCTATCCCACACGAACACTCACACACATCCTTGTTCTTCTGTCATTGTGGAGGCTGAAAACACACACAATCGCTACCACGACTGCTCTCCACATAATCTCCCATCTGGTCAGTGTTTGTCCATCCAAAACCATCAAACCGGGCCCAGTTCCTCTTTCCAGGAAACATTAGAGATCATAAACACACACACACACACACACACACACACACACACACACACAC